GGCCGGGGCTCCGGCGGGGGCGGCGGGGGCGGGCGAGGGCCGCGGGGCTCGCGGGCGAGGGCCGCCCGCGCCTTCTCTGACGCCGCGCTTTCTTCCCGCAGAGGCCGAGCACGGCTACGCCTCCGCGCTGCCCTTCGAGCGGGCCTGTGCCCGGAGGAGGACCGCCGCCAGGAAGGCCCCGAGCAGCCGGTGAGTGGGGGTCCTGCCCTCCGGACGCCGCCGAGGCCGGGCGGCCGCCATCTTCCCTCCGCGGGGCTCTCCTCCAAGCGCCGCCGCCACGCGTACAAGTGGCGCCGCCGAGTCGCCCGGGCAGCCCGGCCGCCTTCCTCTGGGCGCCGTCGCCCGAGTTCAGGGGCTTCCCGCGGAGGCTCGGCTGCCGTGGTAGGCCTCGCCCGGCCTGACGCCGCGCGGCCCCCTGGGCGACCGGCCGAGGACGGGGACCCCGTCCAGGCTGGCTTGGGAGGTTGGCACGAAAGTCCCGGGCTGTGGGCGAGCTGAAGGCAGGTTGTGGGACCCGGCCGGAAAAGGAGAGGTGTTTCTGTTGCGGCGAGGGCAGCCTTTCCCGACCTCGGCGACTTTAAGAGGGGCGAACTCCAACTCCCAGAATTCCCCAGCCAGCAACCTTTAAGAGGGGTGGACTGACACTGGGTTAGGGGCACGTGGGTGTCAAATTAATGGGATGGACAGTGGATATCCGTCCCATTAGTGGATGCTGCTCCTGGGTTAACGCTTGACTGTTCCAATCACACCGCCCAGCCCTTCCTCATCTTGTCGTTTGCCTTTGCTTTGTTCCTGCAAACGAGCTCTTCCAAAGGCCTAGCCAGAAATCCAAGTGAAATGCGAGTTTATTTCACAAAGGCAGGATTTTCTTGTGGCCTCCCATTTCCCCAAAGCTGTAAGCCGTGATGTGCCAGCTACGGTAGCAGGATCCACTTATCTCACTGCTCAGGGAGTGAATTTGGTCCTGAAGCACAGTCGTGCTTTTCCTGGTAGGGAAAGAAAGGAAGAAAACTTCCCTTTGTTGATTTTTGTGACAGGAGGCTGTTAAAATTTGAAATACAGCCCAAAGAAAAGGTGGGGAATCTATGGGGAAGGGAGGGCACATCTGTGAACCCCAGAGCCAGTGGAGGATTCCAGGATCCAAGCGGTTGCCTTGCAGAAAATAATAAAGGGGAAATCTTGCAAAGCGTAGCTTCTGCTGTAGTGGCAACACTGATGCCAAAAGAAGAACACACCAGATGAAATTCTAGTTTCCCATTCACAGATGGGACCTGATAAGGCCTGGACTCCAACTGGTAAGGAGGCAGGAAGGCCTAGCCACCAGTGACCAGAGGAAATTACTTTCAAGACTGATTTGAAAAAGCTGATGCATCTGTTGTAGCAGGCAGGCAGTGCGGGACCAGATCAGGACAAGGCAGCACATTGGGAACTTCAGACAGGCTCCCTGTTTATGCTATTGGGACCCCATTGGTATAGAATTGTGGCCAAATCCAGTCTCATCTGTGTTCCTTGTGGACTGCAATCAATTGACAGACTCTAGTTATGCCCTAAAGTAGATCTTGGGCATAACATCTAAGAAGATGATGACATACTAATCACTGACTCAGTTCTCTGTCTTTTTCATGTCTCTTTTCTGGAAATAGTGATAGGTTGCTTAACTATGTTGAATAAAACATGGCATGTTAAAACCAGATTTAGTACAGTGTGTGAAACCAGACTTTTTAGCTACAACTGGTATGCAAGTTGTGTGGAGAATAGTTGCAGTTCACTCCCAGTGAATTGCATAGCTAGCAGAGTATGTCAAAATGCATAGCTATGGCAACTCCCCTGTGCATATTAAGTTGAGTCCACCATTAGCATTGCGTATCAGGTACAATCACATCATAAGTGGTGGTTGCCAAATACAAGGTAAGCATTTTTTCTTTCTGGTCATCTGATTAAGCTACCAATCTTTAATGTACAGTGACATGTTTGCCTTCAACTCAATCTTTTAATTAGTCCTAGCCCATGAAATGATGGGTATTCCCAGCCTAGTGGTACATCAGTGCAGACTCTCCATTGCATCAGTGTTGAACTTACGTGGTATTTTTGCAGTGCATATGCTGTGACACTGTTGGCACAACAGCAATTATACTTTTATTCACGGGAGTATTTTTCCCATGCAGATTCCCAGAATGTAAGGATGAGATAATGTCAGCTTATTCTAAAGGGTCCGTGAGAGGGCTTCCTTCCTCACGATATGATGATAGTATCCTATAAGGTTTGGTGTTTGTTGAATTTACTTCTTCATTTAGCTTAAGTTCTTTAGTCAGGAGGCAAAAAAAGAAACCAGTGCAATAGTTTTCTGTCGTGGTGCAAGCTCGCTTAGCCTTCAGTTAGTCCTATGACTGAGTTTTCCATTATGTTTCATCTATCTAATTTCTTCAGTTTGGGGAGCTTTAATCTCATTCAGGGTTGATTTTAAGATTGTGTTAAACCTGAGGAAAACATACAAATGGTGGTACTTGGTATACTGAGATAAGTGCTTAAATTATTTTTTTAAAAGTTCCTATTACGAACTTTTAAAATGAATTTTTCCATTTGCATTTGATACATAATATTCTAAAGTATCATATTTTCTGTTTTTAATAGGTCCTCACATAATGAATTAGAAAAACATAGGTAAGTAATAATTAACAGAATTGATATAGATATTAATATACACAAATAACAATTCTGATGTATTTGCTTGATTGACAGTTACTCATTTACATATTGATGCAATAAGCAACAAACAAAATGAAGCTTTTTTAATTATCTTGTTGGAAATCAGTGGGTTAAATTTGCTCAAGTTTTACTCATTTGTATATTTATAAGTATCGTTTTTATGTAGGTAATTTATATATTCTTGTTTCATCAGGAGTTTGCAGCAAATTTGGAACACTAGCTTTCAGAAAATTGCTTTAAAATAGTTATATTAGAACTCTGAGTCATTTATATTTCAGTTCAAAATGAAATCAGAATTTATTAAACATTTTATTTTAAGGAATTGTTAACTGCTTATGGTCACAAGACTCTTCTTGAAAGAATTTTAAATGAATTTAAGTAATTTGAAAAGAATTAAGCACACAATTAAGCTAGTAGAAAAGAAAATGAAAACAACTTCCCTTCCCCAGAAAGTTAACAAAGGGTTTGATGGAAAGAGATGAAAATACATATTGTTCTACTGAGTTTAACAGTAGAGATACAACCCTTGAAAGATTGGAATGCAGACACATGTAGAGACCACTAAGAACAGCTTTACAGCGTAGTCATGTAAGCCTGGAAGATGTGCCTTCTGTGCAAAATACCTCCCTTGAACCTGCACGCCCTAATTCACTAAAGTGAAAATGGGAGGCCAAATTTCAAGTTTTGTGTAATATTCTATAGTAGTTACAATTCTTCTATTTGCTTTTGGAAACAGTTAGTATTAGGAATGATTGCTGCCACCAATAATCCTAAATTCATGATTTAATTATCTTACATCAGTTTCCAAAGTTTGGAAAGCTTCCAGGAGTTAGCGTATCTCATGGTTGCCCCAGTCATATGAAATAATACTTTCCATATACTTAAAGAAGCAGCCATTGCTACCATTTCTGCAAGAATATTACTGAAGGGTTTAAAGTCCCAAAATATCTAGGCTTCGATATGACAGGTCTAATATTGATAAAATAATTTTCCCACATTTCTAGCATATATCTAGATGGCAGATAATTTATCTGGAATTTGGTAAAGCTGAATTACTATTTTGAAAAAGGGTTCTCCACATGAGTGTCTTTTTATGTTTCTTATTCATATGTTAGTTACTATCTTTTGTTGCTCCCATCATATAAATATAGTTCTCACGTGGATAAAAAATCAATAAAAAGCTGGAACTTTAGCTAGCTGCTGCTAAAGAATTAGAGGATTTATTTAAAAAGGGAAGCTGTCAGTTTGGCAAAAATGATAAGATAAATAAGATGCTGTAGGTTCAGCTTTCAGGCCATGCAACAAAAAGGCTTTTGTTTTAACAGTGAATATCTGTTAAACTATATTAAGATGAATAGAAGTTTATTTTTCTTTATGTTTTATTATTTTATCCTTATCCTTGTTTGGGACATTTTTAGCCCTTGTTAGGTGCCCAGAGTCATTTGGTGAGTGGATAGCCATATAAATTTATTAAATAAAATAACTAAATAAGATATTGCAGAATTTCTGTTTTCACAGGCTGAGAACGTGGATTAAAATATATTTCCAACGCACCAGTTGCCTGTGTCTGTTTTCCAGTATTTACTGCTTTTTGTCTACAGAATGAGAAATTTTAAAGGCCTCTTCTTCTAGGAAGAAGCTCAAAGGAAAAGGATGAAGTAATCCTTTATCCTTTTCTTTAGACAGATCAGCATTCACACATTTCATAATTTACTCTAATTAGAAGACATAATTAGCTAATGAAGCTATTGAGAAATATGTATATTACAGATTGGAAGCACTATTCTAATTTCTTTTCATGCCCCACATTTAAAATTGGTCTTTGGGAATCATGTGGTGGCACAAATCACAGTATGTTTAAAACTCAGTTTAAAACTCCATGTTATAAATCTTAAAAAGAAATGCTGGTAATGGAAGAGAAGGCCTTGTTCCCTGTCCATCTAGCTAACCCCAGTTCTTCAAGTTAGGGCTGTGCAGCACTTTGAATTACATTCCAGAATGGTGCTTTGGAGCATGTGAGGCATGAATGTAATATTTGCTTGCAACTTTCAGTGCGGCTGCATCTTTTTCCAGGGTTATTTGGTAGCTGCAGAGGACAGCCACTAAATCCTGGGAAAATATATAGCTGCTTTAAGGAGTCTTCAGACAGGAACACCCCTTTTGGAATCGCATCTGAAGCCCAGCACTGCACTGCTTCTTATTGGTTGGCTCAGTCTTGAATTTGAAAGGGAGGTGGCCTGGGAAGAAATACCAGAAGGAAGATAAAAGGGGCAAGGGTGTGCTTCTCTTCCGCATACATCCTTCTGGTTATCCAAATAATTGGGCTCCACCCTTGTTTCATATACAATGGACACAGGGACAGGCTGTTTCTTAATGGCCATTGAACATAAATATGCTGATGGCGTTTCCTGCATTATTGGAAGCTAATTAGACTGGTGGCCGGCCTTGTACCTTTTGGCAGTATGATTGGGTAAGGAGTTTATCACATGAGAATTTTTATATCAATTCACCTCAGGCCTCCAGCACATACTGGTGAAACTAAAAGACAACTGCAAACTGATATTAACAATTTTCAGAATCTCATGACTGATTGCTTTTAAATCACACAAATACTTGTACTGGAGCAAAACATACACTATACTGTAGTTACATGCTTCATTTCACTTTAACATTAGCTGAGTTTAAAGGACAGGCGGATTTACATGGAAGGAAATGGTTCTTCTGGTTTTTCCAACAACTTGGTCTCAAGCTTCCAGAAGCTCTAATCAGCACACTTGGACGTATTTCGATAGTGCCCACGAAGGTATTGCTATTCCCAAGCAGAGCCAGCTGAAGATTTGAGGGACCCCAAGTAATACTCTACCCCTTGTGGGATTTTTTTGGAGTCTGCTGGGAAGAAAGAGAAGCACTATTGTCTCAGCTTTTCTGCATCCAACGAATACACATTTTTTCTTTCCCAGTTCTTTACCAATAACTCTTTGTTTTTATGTTCCATCTTTTCTTATAAATGAAGTTGAACGTTTCAGGAAAAAGGAGTCATGTGTTCAGTGGAATAAACACAAACCTTCAATGTGAAAATAAATAGTAAGGGGGGGGGAGTCCTGATGGATTCTTACATTATTTGTGTTGATCTAAATGAGAAATTCTTCCCCTCCCTCCAAGTGGAACTCTTTGATTGGGCCTTAGTGAATAGTAAACAAATTAATATAAAATTTATGATATAACTACACATAGAATGTTGTGTACATTTCATTTCACTGTAGCACACCTCAGCTGTCCTTTGTAGATCTGGGAAAGCTGTGGAGCAGCATAGCCAAAATGATCAAAAGGCCACAGCAGTTCCTCCAGGAAAGTTTTGCATGGGCAGATTGTAACTGGAGATGGAGGGAAGAAAGTAAGAGATACAACAGAAGACCAATAGAGGTGAATAGTAATAGAAGAGTATGAAATCATGCATGGTTTGGAGGAGAGGTTGGAGATAATGTTTTTTATTTTCTCTGGCCCAAGAGAGTATTGCTAAAAGATTCAGGACAAAGGAAAAGAAGGACTTTGTGCACCCATAGTTAAACTATGGAATTAGTTATTTGCTACTGCTAGGGCACTAATTTAGATGGCTTTAAGAACATATTGGAAGAAGGAAATAGCAGATCACTTCCATCACACTGCCAAGAAAACTGCAGGAATTCAATCACCAGGAATCAAGCTTGGCCCAGGGCGTCTTGGTCGTTGACTTTGTCTTCAGTGCTGACAAATCAGATTCGCATATCACACTGCGTAGTAATGAACTTTGTTTGGATTGATACACTGTGTTGTATGGATTTAGCCATTATACTGTGGTTATGGTTTTAACATGTTTGGTGAACCAACCAGTTAGGGTTTGTTTAGGGTTCATTTATTGCAAGAACCGGCCTTGGTGTCAGTGACTAATAGACAGGATAGCGATAGGTTACCTCAAATATCAGAGAAGGTGGCCTCTCGGGTATAATAGCTGGGAGGCACAAGTGGGGTCCTGAAGACGTTCTGTGTTGGGTGCCACTTTAGGAACAGGAGGCTGAACAAAATGGGTCTTTTGTTGAAGACCACTGCAATTTTTCTGATCTGTGGCATTAAGCACATCTATCTTTAAGTCCCCGTCAGATGTTCTCTTTGCAAGATTAGGATTCTGAAAAAGTGATGAAGGAATGGTGGGGAAGGAAGGAGAGAAGAATTAGGGGGAAATGAACTATTCTTTTTTGCTTTTTTCCTGAAAAATAAAAAAAAACAGACGATGAAATATTTCCTATGAAGACATAAAGTGGTTAAGGCAAGCATTTATTGCTATTCAATGTTGACTCTTCCTAATGGCTTCTAAAATGTAATAGCAAAACCTTTACTTATGGAAAACTATTACAGAATTGGATGCAGGTACTGTATAGTGACAAGCTATATAACGTAACTCTTACGCGTAAAGATAATCTTATCTTTTGCTCCTGGGTGTGGATACTGACATTTATTTTCACAAAAGAAGTTTTCAGTCCTCCTTGACTTGCCATTTTTTCTACCAATTCTGTACCAAAACTACCAATTAAAATCCTGTTTATCTTTTTTCTTTTCCACCCCCACCCAATATTTTAACCCTTTCAAAAATTTTGAAACCATAGTGCAGGGACCATTTCTTTTTCTAAACGCTTACATGATTACATGGGCCATCTGTGGGTCTTTTAGTTGCCTCCCAGCTTGATGCCAGGGTCAGATGTTTGGTGACAATGTTTATAATTGTTTTGAAATATGTTTGGGAATTAAGTGTTCCTAATTATGCACTGAAGCTGCTTTTGGTGTTTGTGTTTTGAATCCTCATATCCAGAGCATTTGTTATTAGGAGATTAGACTGCTCCCTACTTATTATGCAAATGGAGGGAGTATCCATGGGGGGAGGGGAGGGGAGGTGTGAAAAAAAGTGCATGTGGCAGTCACAACTACCTCTGCAAACAGCTGCCATGTGGAGGGTTGGTGTTCAGTACTCCAGCTTTTCCCACACCATCAGCAGTCCTTATTGAGTGGCCCTATACTTCCCTGGAATGGTTGAGGCAGGATATAAATACATCAAAGTAAGCAGTGCCCTATGGTTATTAATAAATTTAAAAGAAAATTGCCAGCTTGCTATGGTATCTCTGTTTTATTCCTCAGGAATAATGTTATCTTACTAAGAATCACATTACAGTAAATTATGTTTTATTTGTTTGCAATTAATATTGTGTAGAAAGTAGGACAGATTTTGAATGCTAATGACACTAAAGCAAAATTCTAATTTTTGATGATTTCAGGCGGGCTAAGCTACGACTATATTTAGAAGAGTTAAAACAGCTTGTCCCTTTGGGAGCTGAGAGTACTAGACACACCACGCTCAGCCTGCTGAAAAGAGCCAAGATGCATATTAAGGTAAATCAGAAAGACATTTATTTTGTTTTAGCCCTAACCTAAATCATTTTGCTTTGTGGAATATTCTGCTTTGTGGCCTTTGATAGGGAACCAGTCAGCTTAATATTTTATTACTCAGGGCATCTAAAATCATGATATGATATGATTTAACTTATTTGCTTTACACATCCTTTTTGTGTTCAGAATAAACACCGAAGATGGCCTTCGGTTACATTAGTATTAAAAAGGTAAACTCCAACTTTGATTATTGGTCTCCTTCATTTCTTCTGATCATTTTAGACTTTGGCTCAATTATATTTTTCTCAAAAAACATTGTTGAAATAACTCAGAAATCACATGATCTCATTTATAAATATATTCTGAAGTTATTGAACTTCTCAATTCCCAAAAATTCTCTGGGGACTTTATACTACAGCTGTACACTACTTTAAGAAACAAGCAAAGTACAACCACAAAAAGTCATGTTATCACGTTGAGCCCTAAACAGACCAAATACATCTCACAAAAACAGGCTTTCTGGAGCATCTTGTGGTTTACCATGTATGGCTATCGATGCAGTGTGCGCCCACAACTTGGGATATTTAAAAAGAGAAGAATTCACGTTTTAATATATATATATATATATTTGCTTTCCATAGCCACAAATTAACTTTTAAAAACAGAGACTTCTAGATAATGGCTTTGATATGTATGAGACAAAAGCATTTTTTATTTTTTTTTGGTTAACTCTGTGAGCCAGGAATTGTGGCATTCTTACAATGGTTTTAAAAGCCCTTGATTTACAGCTACACGTGGACTCAACTTGTAATTACTTGACCTTGTTTGAATTACATGCCACATGTAACAAGACCTTCAATGCAGAACATCTACAGGAGGGCATAATATTCCCATAGAGAAGAATTGGCAGAAAGAGTTTAAGACTCCCTGCAGTCCAAAGTCATGTTTACATTGGTAGGAATGGAGATGAGGCCAAAGGTGCTGAAAGAGAAAGAGATTAAGTGCTTATTTTTCACCTGGTTCTTCTCCAGTGCAAATGATTTATATCACATGTACTTTGTAACAGAGGCTGTTGAGGCTTCTGATACACTTTGCTGCTATGAAACGTCCATTTTAACTAATAAAAAAATGTTTTTAGTTTACAGTCTCAGCTTACCCATAACAAGTGGTTTGTAACACCCGCTTTGTAATCAACTAAATACTTTTCCTTTTGTTTTCTGTGTGATTCCTTCACGGATAACTATGAAGTAAATTGTTTTTTCAGCTGTTATCTTTTTTGCTTTGTTCCATATTCCTTTAATCATCTGTTTTACAGATGATTATAATATCTCTTGTTGTACTTCCTTTTCTTAATTAAACAGACCAAATTTTTTAAAATCTTTGTTCGTCTAAAAAGACCCTCAGTGTTGTAGACATAGTTACTCTTTTCTGCCAATTTTGCCCATTTTGATTCATTCCTCAAGAACCAAGGTAGGAGACAGCATTCCAAATGTGGCTCCTTCCTTTTCTTGGGGCAATGTTTAGCTATGCCTTCTACACCATTCAAGATGTATGATTTTATGAATTGTAATTTAGTAAAACCTGATTTCTTTCTATTTTCCATTCTGCAGTCTTTCCAGTTTGAAAGTTGGAGTTGGAAACCTCCTTTTCCTAGTTTGAAAAATCTTTTTATTTATTACTCCTCACTTGAAACTATTTTGAAACAGACCAAGAGTCTTCCCATAAAATTACATCTTCCTTATTATGCTGATAATCCTCAAAGTCATTCCTTTTCTGCATATTTTTTTTGTGTGATTATCTTCCTTAAATTTGACATTTAAGACAGGCACTCTAGTTCTGATTTAGTTTGCAGTTCTGATTAAATTAAATAAATTCTCTTATGCAACTAGGACTAATACTCTCATTTTATCAGTGATGTCTTCTCATCTTGTAGGAATGTAGTAGGAATAGAAAGCAATTTTATAGAGGTAGGTAGGATTTATCTTGTAGGAGGATGGTAGTGTTAGTCAATGGTAACCAAAATTCAGAAGTCTGGTGGCACCTTTTATTATTAAGTCTTTTTTTTATTATAAGGTATAATTTTTCATGAGATGCAATTCACAAAGGCTTGTATCTTATAGTAAAATTCAGTTGTCTTAAAAAGTGCTACCAGATTCTGTCTGAAAGTTTAACTTACCTGTTATTTATAACATTACATTTTCAGGTCTAGGAACCCGCAAATTAATTTCCCACCAATGGTTCTGTATTCCTCTTTATACTGAAGTAGCAAAATATTGGAATCTTTATATAGATCATTTAATATACAACACACTTCTATGTGTGTGAAAATGTCTTACTTGTCTCAATCATTGAAAGAAACTTTCTGAAATAACTGCAGTGGATTTTACTGTTTTGGAAACTTCCATTGAAAATTATCCCATGCCATTTGTATAATCATCTAATCATCATGAAATCATTGATATTTTGAAGTATATATTATTTTAATACCTTTCTATTATATTATATTATATTATATTATATTATATTATATTATATTATATTATATTATA